GGGCCAGGAGCAGGGAGCCTGTGCTGACTGGTGTGCTATTCACGCCAGCGGGAAGGTATTGTGGGGCCAGCGGGAAGGAGAAGGCGGAAAAGAACGATAGCCAGCGCCATGATGGGGCGTGGCCGAAAGGGTTCTCATATGACCTAATATAACGAATGTACCATATGAATGAAAGGTGCATAGTAGGGAGAACTGGGTAAGCGAGCAAATGGGAACTCTACTATCTTCTGTAAATATCATTTTTCTGTAAACCTAATACTGTTCTAAGCAATAAAGTCTTAAACTCTACCATAAAAAAGTTTGACGCATGAGGGCCCTAGGGAGATCAAGGCTGAGTTTCCTGGATCTGCAGAATAGAGTTACTGAGGGGCAATTGTAGGATCAGAGAAGATACAGGAATTTGAACAAGGCGGGGCACACATTAGAAAAAGAGAAAACCAGGTCTTGGGCAAGAGCCAAGCCTCTCACACACTCCATCTACTCACCTCTACACTTTGCCCCTCTTTCACTGAAGTGCCCATTCTACTGCTCAAGCCTACATCAACCCTGATCACTCAAGACAGGCATTTTTTTTCTTTTTTTCTTTTTTTAAGATGACCGGCAAGGGTATCTCAACCCTTGACTTGGTGTCGTCAGCACCACGTTCTCCCAAGTGAGCTAACTGGCCATCCCTATATAGGATCAGAACCCGTGGCCTTGGTGTTATCAGCACCGCACTCTCCCAAGTGAGCCACGGGCCAGCCTCTCAAGACAGGCATTTCTGTGTTTGAATGGGAACTTCGGTGGCAGCTGGCACTCCGAGAAACCCCTTTGCAGAACTCCTTTCCTAGTTTGTGGCAGAAACAAGGGAAGGAAAAGAAAACTTTTATTAAATCTATCTCACACGCAAGAAACAAAACGCATAACTGAAGATTTGATAGACGATGGATGAGTGGATGGAAGTTGGGAGTCTAGGCAGACAATTATTAGACACTGGAGTGTAAATTAGAACAAGGATTATAGATTGCACCTACTGTATTACACTGCTATTTTATTCCAGTGACAGTGTACACTAGAACAGTTTTTCCAATCTGTAATAAATCTATCGAAGAAGCACAAATTAGCTTTGTGGATGAGAACAAACCTCTCACGGTTTGAAGAGTTACCATATTAACTTATTTGATTGTTACCAAATATAAAATAAAATAGAGACTTGATTTTTCCTTTTTTTTTTTTTTGTCTTTTTTACTGACCGGTAACGGGATCACAACCCTCGGTGTCGCGCCCGCACCGCGCCAGTGAGCGGGAACCGGTCTCCACATGGGATCCGCGCGCGGCGCACTCTCCAGTGCGCCACCGGGCCGGCCCAGAGACTTGATTTTTCACGCTTTAGAATATATTGTAAAAGATAGACGTGTATTCTATAACCACAATACTTTTAACCAAATTTTTAAAAATTAAAGCAAATGATTAATATCAACTGCTTCGCTCACGTCGACTCTTCCTATTCGTCCCACAATGTATTAGATCGTCAAACCAGGGTTTACTAAAGAAGCAGAATCCCATATCGCTGTCTTGTGGGTAGGGACCAGTCCTAAAGCATCAGAGGCAGGTCTACAGGCAGCAAGACTGACTCCCCGGAAATAAGAGAAACGTCCTCCTTTGGTTCCTAAGAGACTGTCTTAGAGGCTTATGGGAAATGTAGTCTCGCCCTCCAGTGACGCCAACAGCACAGCGCTAAGGGAAGGGCTTGTCCTGGTTCCTTCTGCGCGTGTGCAGCTCCGCCCACTCCGGAACTTCCGGGCCCTGCGGCCGCTCGCACGCTGATCGGCAGGCTGTGGAGGGTTGGGCTCAGTGCCTGAAGGTGGGTGCGAGAGTGAAAGAGGAGGTCCGTGGGCCTCGGGGGATCCTGGGGAGCGGCACGGGTGTCCCAGCACTTGGTGGAGCAGGAACGCCGGTGGTCTCAGGCGGGCGGGGCCTGATGTGCCGGTGCGAGCGCGCGGGCCTGGGTGGGGAGGGGGCACCTCGGGCTGCGCTGTCAAGGACTGGTTTGTCAAAACACGGCTCTCTGCGAGAAGACCAGCTGTGTGCTTCCAGGTGTACAAAAGCCGATTCCAGAAGCTCCTGGAACGGGGTGGTCGAGTCCGAGATGGCGACTGGGGTGTGAGGGGGTCTGCGGTGTGCGTTCACATTCCAGCACTATCATGAAGGAGCCTGTTACTAACCTATATGACATTGGCTTTACGCATCTGTAAGTTGGGCGTATTAACAGTGCTAGTGAAATGCTTCCAGATTCTCCGAGAAGTAATTGTGAAGTGTGGGCAGACCGAGTTTTACTATGTGGCAGTCATGTTTGTGGGTTTTCTTGGGGCAGCTTCAGCAAGTGAAGTTTCTGGTCCCCTCCTGCACTGTGTAGCCTGCCCAGAACTCCTGGTTTGAGTATACAGAATTCAGTACAATACCTAGTTTTCAGGAACAGTGAGTTCTAGGAGGTAGATACTGGATGATGGTCTGGTTTTCCTTGGAATAAAGTAGGAGTTACAAACTTTGAAGGAGGGCTCCCTGTGAGTAGTAATCCCACCTGAAAGAACACCCTCTCTGGTCTGAGCTCTGTCACTAGTGCTTCAGAGCAGAGGCAAAATAGTCCCAGAAAGGGCGTGAGCCTAACTTTGCATGCCCCAAGCAATTACTGATCCTGCGGCCTAGAGAGGAGATTTGAGTGATACTGCCTCTTCTGGAAGCTATCAATGACCGGGTGCTACTGGAAGGTTTGAACCAACTTTCAGAAGGGAGAGGTGAATTAGGCCGGGAAAGATAGGCAAGGGCCTAGAAAATGTTACTTATTGAGGTGTTTTGATAGTGTGGTCTGTGGTGGAGGGTTACCCTGTGACACCTGAGATGATCTCTCCACAGTGCTCTCTAAACCCACGTCTATTCCTTCAATCTCCCTTCATTGATTGTTTCCAGAGTCTGAGCTCTCATAAACCTAGCCTATTACCAAATTTGGCATCTAGAGATATGCCGATGATCCATTGATCCTGAGGTATTTCTGCTTTTGACTAGTGTTATTCATCTTGCCACAGTTAACTCAAAGGAAGTGTTTATTTATTTATTTATTTATTTTCCTTTTTGTCTTTTTTCGTGTCCGGCAACGGACCGCAACCCTCAGTGTCCCGCCGGTACCGGACCGGACCGGACGGCAATGGGATCGCAACCCTCGGTGCTGCGTCCGCCCCTCACTCAGCCAGTGAGCGGGAACCGGTCTGTATGTGGGATCCGAACCCTCGGCGGGAGTGCCGCCATGCTCCCAAGCGGTGCACTGTAGCAGTGCGCCACTGGGCCGGCCCCAGAAGTGTTTATTTTTGAGATCATTTTTGTGACATTGAAGTCAACTTAGAGCAAATATTGCTCTAAAATACCTTGTTTTAAACATACCTATCCCTTTTTATCCCTACACATGCTGTGGATCATGTGAATTCAAAGGCTTAATAATGCAAGTGTTTCCCATTTAATGTCAGTAATCTGTTCCTAAAAATTATAAATTCTGCAGAAAATGATAGAAGCCTATTTTACATTATTTAAAATAGGAAAATTGGACTGTGTCACATTTGTTTACCAACCAACACATGTAAATAAAACACGGTACCATGCTTGAATATAAGTAACAGAATTATGTTTTGATGTAAAAAACTTAAAACATAGTCTTTGGATCTCCAGATAATTGCTTTGTTTGTTTCACATTACTTCAACCACACTGAAGTCCATTCATTTGACTTTTATTTTGCTTTTTAAAACTTCTACATGTGATTTTGAAGTTCTAATTATTGTACTTGACATGTAAGTGAAGATTCCCCCACTTCCCAATTTGTTAAAAATATTTAATTCAAGGTGCTTAGATGCATCAGTTAGCCTTTGCTATGTAAGGATCAACAAAAATTTATTGGCTTAAAAAAGGAACTATTTAATTTGATGGCGTTCCTGAGGATCAGCATTTGGGCTGAGCGCAGTTGGAAAATTCCTGTGTTCATGTTGCCTGGGGTCACAAATGAGACTGCCTTTACCTGGTGCCTTGACTGAGGCTGGTTGGTTTACGATGGCTTCACTGACATGTCTGGTGGTTGGTGTTGAGTCTTGGCTTGGCCCTGTGTTTTCAACAGGGTAGCTTCAGGCTTCATCAAAATGTGACTGTGTCCAAGAAGGCAAGCACCAGTGGACAAGTACTTTTCAACTGTGTTTTCATCACATTTACCAATGTCCTCTTGGCCAAAGCAAGTCAAATGGCAATGCCCAGGTTATTGTTGCAGCCAATTATATGCAAGTGTGGATATAGGGAAGTGGCCTACTTGGAACCATTCTTGGAACAGTGTACCACAAAAAAGTACATTATGTATTTATACACACACACACATACACACACATATATATAATCATGGGTGAAAAATGTTGGGTTGCAGCATGCATATTTTCCATGAAATTTAGGTATATAAAAGCAAGAGGTATTTTAGGGGAAGCACTCATAGGGAGTCTGGTGGTGTCCCCATATTAATAGGAAAATAGTTCGTATCACCCAAGTGCATTTCTATAACATTAATTCTAGTAGAAACATAATGTTTCTTCCTTTGGCTTAATTATTTATTTATTTTTGGCAACTGGTCAGGATGAGGATCTGGACCCTTGACCTTGGTGTTACAAGGTTGTGCTATAACCAGCTGAGCTAACTGGCCAGCCCCCCTAATTATTTCTTTAAAGAACATTAATTGTTGCACAATCAGTAGGAACTGTATGTTTTCATTAACCCAATAATAAATTGTGTCTAATCTCTACCAATTAATGTACTCGTGGGTACATTAATTGTGGTACATGAATTGTGTTTAGTCTCTACCATGTACTTGTAGGTACACATCTTCAATGGCGTCTTTTTGTACTTTTCTGTATAAGTGATTGTTCTAGGAGCCTTCACCCCCACCCCTCAACATAATGTGTAGAGCGTTTTAAGCAGAAGAATCTAGGACCAAGCCACACCAGTTCTCTCATGACTCCACTCCATTTGCCTTCGTTCCCAGGTATGCTTCCAGAGTCTTCTGTGTGTTTCCAAGAGCATGAAAAAATGCATAAATCTCTGGTGAGTTGTTTATTTGTTCCTTACTTTGTTTTACATTTTATTTGATGTGTTGTATGGCATTCATGAGTAAAAATAGAAAAGTGGACATAAGTAAAAATCAGCTTTAGGAAAGTTGGACATAAATGACATAAAATGGTCACACAGAAATAGGGAGGTTATAAGACCTTAGAGTCACGTAAGTTGAATATAGATTTGAGTCTGGTCTTTCTGATGTCATGTCAAAAAGGCAGACACATTTGTTGCATGATTAGAATGGAATCTGAGAAGACAGCATGCTAAATTCTCATGGGACATGAAGAATTGATGATACTGAAGTCTGAAACACTGTCTTCATTGGTCATATGTATGATGTAGTGGAAAGTTTTTCACTACCAACCTGTAAATAAACACTTACAGCATTTTGCAGTGGAAACGGTTACCTAATGCTAGAGCTAAACTCACATAGGAAGGTTTTTCTGGAATTGTGAAAATAGTGTGGTCCAAGACAGCTTTTGGAAGGCTGTATTTGATTCATGGACAAAAGCTGGAATGTCTGAAGGAGATTGAGTTGACTACAGGTCCTTAAGTAACTTTTTATATATTTCTCTCATCTTGTCTGTACATGAAGATTGTATAGCAGACTATTCAAAGTTATATTTGCTGTCACATATTCCCAGTGTTCATTTACATTATAACCCACTTAATGGAGTCTTACTTCAGTTTTTCAGAAGCTCCCTAATATCCTAAATTGTAATTAATTCCAATGGCTATTGTCTAGTCTTTGCCTAACTTGAATCTTCTGCCATATTTGAAACTACTGTCCATGATCTGCCCCAGGAAATTCTTCTCTATTAGTTTCTGTCCAGGCCTCTCTGATAATTACTTTTGTTTCCCTGAGTTATTCTGCTTTTTTTGCTCCTTAACACAGCTCTTCCAAGTACTCCATCCTAACCCCATTCTTCTTACTCTGCAGTTCTCCTAAACTCAGCTCTCTGAGGTTTGCATTCCTGTCTCTCTCCATCTTGCATCTTTTCTCCAGCCTTTAGACACAGGTTCAGCTCTGCTGAATGCTTCTTTGTGTCTATCCAAAAGGCACCTCAAACCCAACAAATCCAGAATGAAAACTGGACCCCCCCCTCTTCCCTTACATATGGTATCATTACCATCCAGCCAGTGACCCAACTCAACAAAATGGGATTTTTTTCTGTATTCCTCCTCCTCTCTCAGGTCTACTCTCTTCCAGTGTCGAGTTCTGCTGTGTTTGTTTATTCTTTTTTAAAATTCTAATATGTGCATACTGTGCCAGTATTGGGAAAGAGGTTCTTGGTGCTCAGAAATAAACACAGCTACTATGTTTGTTACATTGGAAATGTCATTCTTGACAAAACCTAAAGGGAGTGTTTGCTCAGTGATGAGGTTCAATCCCTCTGGAATTTTGTGCCTACCCAGTATGTATAGTGACGTCCTTAGGAGTCCATGGGGAGAATGCATTCAGTAGTTAGTAGGACATATTTGAATAAGGTTCAATAAAAAGATATGCAAAGAAGAAAAGCAAGAAGTACAGATTTTTATAATTTTACCTTTTGCCTAAATAAATTTATGTCAGGGATTCCATCTGTAGTTTTTATTCATATGCAGTTGTAGGTTTGTAGTTCAAAAGGACCTGTCATGGTTTCAGACTCTTTTTAAGACTACAATTAATTCTACTTTTTCAACTAACCACTTGAAAATTAGTAAAGAAAAATGGATGTGTACATCAATCATAACTATGTTTATGGACTAGAACTGCAGTTAATAGTTGGTTAAGAATAAAAAATGACATTATTACTGGAACATTTGATATTCACAATTATATTTTGAGATCTAACATAAAATGTTGTGTTCTTTTTTGTTTATTTTGAACCCAGAATTCAATCTAAACCTACACACTTCATGTTTATGTATGGTCTCTAATAGTTTTCTTGGTGTTCTAACTATCTGCTACATAACAAAGTACCATAAAATGTACTGGCTTAAAACAGAAATGCTTATTATTGTTGCAGGGAACCCTAAACATTTTCTAATTGTTAAGCCTTTCCCCTTTTCCACTTGAGAAACTGTTTTAGAAACTCTATGCTTGACTGTCTTAACTGCAGACTCTGGCCTCTGCGACCTAGCGTGCTTGCTTCCTGCACCTGCCCTCTGTGAGGTAACAGCAGTCTCACATCCCCCAAGGGCCGGATGCAAATTAGGCTCCAGAAGTGACCAGTGGACTGTGTCCCATAATCAGCCAATCCAAATTAGCAGGACTGCATCCCTCATTTACATAAGAGGACCTGAATGGGAACTTGGGTGGGAAAAGGGAGGGAATCTAGACTATATAAGATGGTCTTTTCCTTTGTTCTGGGAGACACTGGTTTAGGAGTCTTTGCTCCCCAGTGCTCTCCTTGCTTATAAACAAAAGAGGCACTGTAACTCTGAACAAAGAGCTGCAACACAAAATAAAGAGCTGTAACACTGACACCGGTCTTGGATTCCTCTGTGCATTTGGCCCACAACATTATATGTCATATTTTTGTGGGGCAGTAAATTGGACAGGCAAGTGTGGTCTGCTACCCAATGTCTCTGGTCTCAGCTGGAAAGACACTATTTGCTGGGGACATTGAGCAGGCAATCCAGCCCTCTCTCTGTGTCCATTTGGGACTTCCTCACAGTCTGGCTATCTCAGGGTAGTCCAACTTTGTAGGTCCGTCATCCACCATGCCAAATGATTAAAAAGTCTGTTATGCCAAAGTTTGCAAGGGATAAAGAACAGCCTTTTTTTGAGTGGCTACTTAAGAAGCTCAAGGCAGGTAAAGGAGGTGGAAGACCTCAAACTCCCAGATGGCTTAAAATCACAAGCATTTATAAAGCAAAATCATGAGTAAGGGGTCCCAGAAGTTGTGTAGGACTCTGATTGGTTCGGGGCGAAGTCAGCCCAGTTATCCCTGGCATCTCGATTAATGTCCTCCTTCACTTTTTCAGGTCTGGAGGATAAGTGCTTCAAAGTAGGCTTTCAGTTGATGGCAGTTCTGCAGAACAACTCAAGATTGTTGTTACTGATGTTATCTTAAGACATTTACTGAGAAACAAACATCTGGTGGCCCTGAGGACTTGTTTAGCCTTAGGGAGATACATGTTTAATTAACTTTATTCATATTGTTAACTAAATTTTCGGATTTCTCCCAGCAATACTCCCAGAGATTCAGCCTTTCAGACTTCTCAGTCTTCATTAAGCACATTGTTTCCCTTTAGCTATTCCCTGCCCCCCAGCCTGAGGCCAGCTCTGGCTAGGGGTGTAGCAACAACTTATGGGAAACATCAGGGGTCCGCTCCACTTCAGTCTGCTGGCTTATTCTTGAGCAAGTGTCCAAGAGGTCCAGGAGAAGCTGCAAGTCTTCTTAGGATCTCCCCTCAGAGGTCCCAAAACATCTCTTCCACCACGTTCTTTTTGTTAAGTACATTGCTAAGATGAGACTGATTTCAGCATGGGGGAGGCGGGGGCAGATGGACTCTACCTCTCAGTAAGAAGAATAGTAGGAATTTATAGCAACCTGTAATAAGTCACAGTTCACCCTCTGGCCACAAATTATATTTCTGGCACTTGCAAATTACACTTTGTTTTTCTTAGGAGACTCCAGAGTCTTCTCAGTTATGGCACTGTCTGAAAGCCCAACTAAATCAGGTCCTGGTGGCCTGTCATCTGTCCCTCCACGGACACCCAGCCCACAGTGAGGAGACTGGCATGAACCTGGTGGGCACATCTCTTCAGTTGTGTGGCAGGATGCAGCAGGCAGCCTGCAGGCACTGGTCTGAGCAGTTAGGAGTTTCCACTGGGGCCTGCTCCCATTCTTTGATTAAGACCCCGTCCTGGTCCTTGGGAAAATGCTTGATACATCTACATTCTGTCCTCTGGGATATGCCATTCTCTGAGTTGATATTCTTTTTCCTAATGGAATGCTGATGATGAACCTTCTTCAAATATTTCTTGCTTACAGTAAGTTGGGGATCCATTGGCCTTTTTTTTTTTTTTTTTTTTTTTTTCACTTTTGCCTGACTCTGTCCCTTTGATACTGAAAGGGCGGATGGACCCGAGCTGATAAGGCGACAGGACCTGAGCTGACAGTTCGCCAGAGAAGTTCCGCTTTATTCAAGGACTGCGTGTACATTTATAGGGAGCTG